GAATTATGATTTTTAATCAAAAACTTCTAAAATTGAGGTAAAACTCCAAATGTGAGTAATTCCAGGCCCGCATTAAGTAATTTTATGTTTAAAATGTCAAAAATTAGGTTATTTATGATAAATAAGCATAAAAATTAAGAAAACGTTAGATTCCAGGTCCGTATTAATGATTTTTAAGTCAATAAAATCAAAATTTACATTAGCAATGATAAATAAACACTACATAACTAAAAATTACGTCAATTCCAGATCTGCATTAATAATTTTCAAGTAAGAAAATAGCAAATAAAACTAAAAACTCAAAATTTGGTGAATTCCAGATCCGCATTAAGTAGTTTTAAGTAAAAATATCAAAAATTAGATTATTTATGATAAATAAACTTAAAAATTAAGAAAACATTGATTCCAGGCACGTATTAATGACTTTTAAGTAAAAAATCAAAATTTACATTAGCGATGATAAATAAACACTAAAAAATATTACATCAATTCCAGATCCGTATTAATAATTTTCAAGCAAAATAATATCAAATAAAACTAAAAAACTCAAAACTGCCCCAATTCCAGATCCGTATTAACAATTTTTAACTAAAAAATTAAAAAATTATATTGACGATGATAAATAAACCCAAAAACAAATAAAAATGGCTCCAATATCAAACCGGTATCCCATATAAACCTAACTTTTTTCACACGATGTCAAAGTTTTGTAGGTAATGATAAATGAACAGGCCTATTTGATCAGCGACACACTCGGCTTCCTCACATCCATCGCATAAAAGGTCAACGAGGTAATCGTTTCGCTTAGTTTCTTCGCTTCCACCACCCCCACCACTCTCCACCCATAAGCCCACGAAGCGCGCAGAAGTGGTGGAAGTGGATGGACCCAACATTATTAATCTACCTGCTGGCGCAGAGAAGAAGAGAGTGAAGTTGTGCTTTGTCGCACAACGTCGGTCAAAATCAAAAGGATTCAATTAAAACAAACACACCGGGCCTACGGCCAACCGAAGACGACAGTCTCATCGCTTATATTACCGAGAATCGCGCTTGCGCTTGCGCGCTCAAAACAAATAAAGAAAAAGCCGAGGAGACTGAAACACATCATCGGACGCGCGCGTTTTTCTCATCGGGTAGAACGCTAAAAATGTCTAGGAATCCCGGACACTTGTTACAGATATATGGAACGCTTAATTCCAGAGATAAACATCGAAAGCGAAGCCGGCACGCCGAGCGGAATGGCGGCCGGCGGACGAGAAATTCGAAGCGCGCCAAACGAAGAGAAGTATTTTAGTCGCACATCGCACACGAGAAGAGACAAAAGCCTCCATTTTTTTTTGTGTTGATTTTATGTTTTTAGCTTACAAGAAATTTAATTTTATTGGGAATTAAGTAGTGGTGATAACAGGACCGGATTTAGAAAAATTTAAAAAAATGTTTTGAACTAAATAAAAGTATTTTTTAAATAATTTTAAATAAAATACCGAAATACCGGTTGAAAATATATATTTCCGCTAATAATTTGCTCAAAATAAAAATATTTTACGTCGTTACACAAAGAAATTAATATAAACCAAACAATCGAGGAATACTATAAAAGGTTTAAGTGCGCATGCGCTCGCGGCTTTCAAGCGGAAACGCAGCGCACTTAACTATCATCAGCGCGCGCATACAAAGCTTAAAACATTTAATGTTAAACGTTAAAGAAGCTATAAACTCTTGTACAACGCAAAAAAGAAAAAAAAAACAAATTTTACAGCAAAACACACCTGTTTGGTACCAACTCTAGAGTTGATCCAATGTCAAAAATACACCCGTAGGTAGTATTTTGTTATCAAAGGGTTTATTTCATTATCTCGACCGCCGCGGAGCGATACATCAAACCAGGACGCGAGTAAACGTGTTGAATGTCACAAAGTTGCCTTTATGCAGACACGCAGCATTGTTGCTCGTTTGATATCGTGTGTTTTATCAAAAGCGCCTTTGATGTTATTCCACATCCTCCCGCGCGCGCGGAGCGCAAGTCGAAACCTTTCAGCCCACACAAACCACCCTTTTGTCTACGTTTACGTTTATAAAGCGGCAACAATTATTTTTAGCGTTTTTAAAATCTCACAGGACCGTACTTAGGATTATTTATTACCTTTCACTCGCGGAAGGTATTGAGAAAACACCGTAAACTTCGACTTGGAACCCGCAATGGGCGTCGCTCGCAGCCTATGACTATGCTAATGAGTTAACGGTGTGTCGAGTGTGCGTCGAAGAAGACGCCAAGACGGTCAACAGACACAGACATCGAAAGAAGAAAAAAACAAGTCGCAAGTACATAAATAAATTAGTTTTAAGTTAAACTTGAGAAAAACAATGTAAAAACTTTATTTTTTTGAGAAAAATAAATCCAAATTGATTTCTAACTGTTTCTCGTCTTCTTTGTGGTTTAATTCATGCTTCTTGCTGATAGATAAGTGATAGCAAGTAATATGAATTTAATCGATCGTAAAATATCAATTAAATCCTCTCGGAGATTATTTTACATCGCAGGAAAGACCACGAGAAGGAAAAAAAACTGTTCATCGACGATTTTATAGTTTAAATACGTTAAGTCTCAGGTTACCTACTTACTTAAGTTATTTCCTCGCAAACATTAACCAACCGCAGACTGCTTTTTTGATTTCTAGTGTGTTTATTTAATGTTGTGAGTGATTTTATGTAACGCGTCTTCGGAAATGAAAATAATCAGTTTCGGGGAGAGTGTAGATTTGAGGTTAGAATAGTTACATGACACACATGACACATAGCGCCATCTATAATATTTATACGCTGGGATTTTGTTACTCGTGTTGAGTTTTGTGATACTTTGAGAAGCCAACAGCTTCAGTGGTCGCCACACAGCAGTCAAACTCTATTTCTATAAATAACGGAAATCAAATGTCATCTATAAACACATCGACAACGCGGCGGCAGCCAACTAATCGCCGCATTCGTTCGAATCGAAGCGAATTGGAGATACGCGCTCATCTCTAATTGTGTACACCTTGACCATAGATTAAAAATAATCATAATAATAAACATAACATGTAATAATATTAATTTTAGATAAAACAGATAAAAATTTTAAAATTTTTTGAATGAGAATATAATTTCTCTTTGTAAAGTCACAGGAGTCTAGAAGCGACTTGGGAGACTCGATGTCCATCGTCTAAAATTAGTGCGTGTGTCGTCGTTTTGCTCTGCGAGCGTCGCGCGCCGTCGTAAATGTCGTCGACGCCGATTTCAATTTCTCGACCACGTGTGTGTACAAGTGTACCCAGAGTGTACACTTATACAGTTTCGCACCTAAATTGCACTCTGCATTGCCTGCAAAACGATTAAAAACGCGCCGCGTCGCTCTTAATTTATTTGTCTAGCTCTATATTTCCATTTCTTTGTTCTACTTCCAGTCAAAACCCGCAAAATATCAAAAATTACCATGAAAACTCCAAAGAACAATGAAATCAGTAAAACTTGATAAGTTTATATAAAATTTTCGGTGTAACAACGAAAAATATTTTTATTTCTTGCAAAATTATGACTTAGAATATTTTTCTTAAGACATGATATCGATGGTAACATTTGAAATATTGTTGTAATTATGATCTACACATCCCTACAAATTTTAATGTAAATTTTTATAAGTTAAACATGATTTTTCTGCGTATTTCTTGAGGTGCACAAACAGTTACAACAAAATTATTTAAACAAAACACAAGTGAATACAACTGAGCGACGCGGAATTCATTTTTAGACTTCAGGAAATATTTACCGGCATTTTTACTTAAGTAATTAAATTTAAAATCAGCTTACAAATGATTAAACAGATGCAAAACACGTAAAATCTCAATATTTGTTAGTTTTTTGTTCCCTACAACATAATAAAATCTCCAAACCCTGAATTTTAAGTTCAATATACCGGTATTCGGTATTTTTTTTAAATAAAAATATTGATATACCGGTTTTTTCAACACCTACGATATATTTTTACATTTGCAAAAAAATAAAATTTTATTTTCTACGTAATAACTGCAAGCGATAACGTAATAAGTAATAATAACGCAACAAAAGCGGCAAAAACCAAACATGCAAAACTAAATAACATAACATAACATAACATAACGCACGGTTGAGCAATTGGGTAAGAAAAAGTAAACTTGAATCGTCTTTCTTTGCGTTTTTTTTTTCAGCTCACAAATAGAAAACTACTCTAGTGGAACCGTTTTATAACACATTTCTATGCGTTATTCGATTATAGTATGAATTTCGAGGCGCGCACAGCAAAAGGAAGTTATAAATCCACATATTCTTGCATAATTATGAATTTATTGTGGCTGAATTTCTAAGAAATTTCTTAATTAATCGATGATTTGCGTCAAATAATGACGCGCGATTGAAAACATAATCAGATCGATCACGTGAACAATACCCAATAAAATTTTACGCTACACTTTTGATTTTACGAGTATTTCGGTAAATTTTACGAGATATCAACAAGTGTACCCCGACAAGGTTCAATTTTTTCGAGAGTTGCAACGCAAAAAATGACAAAAATCAACCGAAAAACACGATTTTTTTCGGGAAAAAACTCGCTAATCATATTTAATTACTTATTTACTTTGCATAGAGAATGCAAAATATGCATTACGAAATTTCCAGCCGTTTTCCCCGGTTGGTAATTAAAATAATTCACAAATATTCATTTTTCCAGGCGTAATTAAGTAAAAAACTATTTTTTGAAAAAAAAATTGATATTTTTACATCAAACGACACCGCAAACACTCAAAAAATGTGGATTTCAAGCGGAAGAAAACCAAAACATTCCGTTTACGATGATGATCAAGCAGTAAACCAGTGGTATTTGTTAATTTACTTCAGCTTACGTCAATAACTTGTAAATTAACAACAAAATCACTTGAAATATACGCGAATTCCTATTGGAATTGACGCGTTTTTTAAGTTTTACTAACCTGAGCTGAACCAAGCGTTCATTTAAGCTGGTTGGTCGCGGAAAATCACATTAACAACAATTGGAACTTATTAGAAACTTATGATACAACTTAAAACTCTTGTTTTGTTGGTTAAATGTGTGTAATCCAAGCGATTGCTGCACTTGTTTGAACCGAAACAAATGGAAATCGTGTGCGTGAAAAGATGGTCGCGATTAATTTGTTGACAGTTGCCGTGACAACGACGGAAACAGTTGACGATCGCGGCTCACACCACCGGCGGCCGCCGCCCGCCGCAAGCACATTTTTCTTCCAGCGCACAATATTCGCACCGCTCCGCGTTGATCCGCTGCGTGTATTAATCGCGCGATGCGTTTTTGTTTCGTTTGTCGCGAGTTGATTGCGAGAGGCGGCTCGTCGACGACGCCGCGCGGTTTCGGAGAGCCGTGTGCGCGCTCACGGCGCGCTCGACGCACCGACGGCATCGACGCGCACACACAGGCATGACAAGTATGTAAACTATTGTAGGAATTGCGGACGCATTGCTCGCATTCCCGACGCCGTGCGGACGACGCCGACGCGGCGTGGAGGCGCCGCCGCCGCCGATATCGATGCAGTACTTACCGAAAATCGTGTCGGAGACGCTCGCCGCCGGCTGCCGCACAAATCGGGACGGATATCGGCCCGTAAATACGAGAACGCCACTCTTGTTATTGGTATGCCAGGAATGGTACAAAGAATCTAGACAACGCAACGGTCACGGCGCACCTGAAACGGCGCATCGAACGAACGGCAACGCGCGGCGCGCTCGGCTAGGCCCGTTCACCGTACACGCACGAACTTACTTCGGCTGCTACATTAACTCAACCGCCATCTGCACGGCACACAAATAAACTAAACAGAAAAATATTGCACAAAACAACCACCAACGCCATCTATCGCAACCTAATAAACTAAAAAAAGAAAACTGTAATTTTGCTTTATAAATAAAAATAATTTAATTAATAAATAAACTAAACTAATGGATAAATGCCTTCTGTTGCGACACCACAATGATTACCCCTATTCCTAGCCACTTTAATATAACCCTGATCACCCCAACTAGTCCCCAGGAGTTTTCACCAACCAAAATCTTCACCATTTTCAGTGGTACCGTACCCAACTGCTAAAACAGCATGATCCAAATCTTCTGTTTTACACTTAGGCTCATAATAAACACCTTTGGAGTAATGTTGGAATGTTTCTTGACTTGCATCGATTGCAATTGCAATGGGACCAATAGTAGCAACAGCTTGCATCAATGCTTCCTCATTACCCTTTGGTAAATCAACAAAACCATTGGTAATGGCGCCGGATTTCTTCGCATTGTACGCACACTTCTGATCCTTAGCTTCATAGGGATAAGCCTCTTCAGTATCAATACCTTTATTGTCTTTTATATAACGAAATGCATTATCCATGTTTCCGCCATTACAACCATGGTTACCATACTTGGTAGAGCAATCAACCAGGTTCTGTTCACTCAAGGAGACAAGTTTAGATGTTTTACGAAAGTGTTGTCCTTCCAGGGCACCAGTCTGGTACAAAAACATTAAAATTTGAAGTGTTTTGGTGTTTTTCACTTACAGCACTGAAACTCCAACAGGACCCACATTGTTTCTGGTCCTTGACATGTGTAACAGCTCCCTCTGTGCGCCAATCCACTTCCTTAGGCATGCAGACATGTGCAGGAGGGATAAAAGCAACAGGACCTTCTTTTGTGTCATCAAAAGGGTCCAGAGTTCTGTTGTAACCATTTACAATGTGGATAAACTCATGGTGCAGCATATCAGACCATGTATTGAGGGATAATTTATAATTCACCAAGCCTATATCGTATAATTGGTTGTGTTTGATGACTTTATGAGCGTTTTCCATGAACACTTTCATCCGGAACTTCTCTTCAGTCTCACTATCATATTGTTTATCTTCCTGAGCCTTAAAATTGTGTTTATTAACAAGATATACATGGTTTTAGGCTGGTACCTACCAGGTAAGCTCCCCATTGTCGTGTTACCTCATCATAATAAGACCCACAAAGGGTATGTCTCAAAATGGCGACCAGGATAACCAAACTTTTCATTTCTGTTCACATTCAGAGCAAAACATCAACTGAAAGTGTTTTTTTTTCATGTATAAATGCTTGAAGAAAAGTGTTTTTTGCTTTTATTTAATCATTCAATAAAAGATTGCGGGTTATTGTCTGTGTTTTACCAACAAACACGGCTTAAAATAACTCTATTTATTCGTTTTTGGCATTTTGAGCAACTTAACTCTAAAAATGATTACAATACAAAAGAATCTTCACTGAATTCACACTAAACCAAAGGATAGCTGGATTGGGTAGCAATGCCACAATGATTGTCCCTGTTCCTCGCCATTTTGATGTATCCACCATCACCCCAGCTGTCACCCCAGGAGTTCTTCACCAACCAATAATCTTCGCCCTTTTCAGTGGTGCCATAACCAACAGCCAAGACACCATGATCCAATTCCTCACTGCTGCATTTGGGATCATAATAAACTCCTTCGGAGTATAATTGAAAGGTCTCCTGGCTGGCATCGATGGCAACAGACACTGGTCCAATGGTTGCAATGGCTTTCATGAGGGCTTCCTCATCACCAGAGGGAATGTCAACGAAGCCCTTATCAGTGGCACCGGAGTTCTTCGGGTTGTATCTGCATTTGTCATCTTCGGCTTCATATGGGTAGGTTTTCTCTGTGTCCAGACCATGGTTGTCTTTGATGTAACGGAAGGCGTTGTCCATGAGGCCGCCATTGCAACCATTGTTACCGTATTTACCAGAGCAGTCAATCAAGTTCTGTTCACTCAAGGAGATGAGTTTACCAGTTTTACGGAAGTGTTGACCTTCAAGAGCTCCAGTCTACAGAAAAAATTAGGTTAGTAATGATTTTATTCATGTTTTCTGTATGAAAAGAAGAAATATTTACCGCACTGAAACTCCAGCAGGATCCACAATGTCCCTGGTTCTTCACAACGGTGACAGCGCCCTCTTTACGCCAATCCACTTCCTTGGGGACGGTAACATGAGCAGGAGAAATAAAAGTAACACCCTTATCATTCTCATCCTGGAATAATCCACTGGATCTACCCAGGCTGCGATTGTATCCGTTGACGGTGTGCACAAACTCATGATGCAACATGTCCGCCCATTTATTCACTCCTAATTTGTAGTTAACCAGTCCCATCTCGTACATCTGGTTGTGTTTGGCTACTTTATGTGCGTTCTCCATGAAAATCTTCATTCTGAACTTCTCTTCTGTTTCGCTGTCATATTCTTTCTTGTGTTGCAGCTAAAAGCAATAAAAATTGATCAAAATAAATAATCAGTCGCCATTTTGTATTCATGTAAATATAAAACATGCAATTTGATATGGATAATATTGTAAATTGTAAACAATGCACAATCGTATGAACAAAAACAAACTATTTTGATAACAGGACCGAATTGAAGCGTATTTGTGCCCTGAGGTCATCGAAAGTCACAACGGCCAGCGATTAAAATGTCGCGCGTGATCATTATTCATCATATCTGAATATCCAGCATGAAAATAATCCAATTAGAAGCAAAAAAACAAGTTGCTAATTGGATTAGTGGCATTCTGCGAACTCAACTTCCAAATTCGCATGTTGTGAAGTCACAGATCGTAAAAACACACACAAATGTTATGGTTGTGTGTGTGTGTGTGAAGGGAAACACGTGATTATGTACAGAAAAATACCTTAAAAGATGCCCATTGTTCCGAGACAAGGTCAAAGAAGGACACGCACTGAGCGATCCCTACAAGGGCGGCCAGAACCAGTAATCCCTTCATACCTGCGAAGAACACAAAGAAAACATTAGAAAATCACGTTGTGCATGTGTACCACCATTTTGAAATCAATCAAAACAAAGAAAAAATCATAAAAATTTCGCCATTTTGTAAAAATCACTATTTCATCACAAAATAAACATTAAAATTAACTAAAAATACGTGAATATGATTTAAATACTTGTAAATAATTAATTTATTGCATAATTATTGTTTAAATAATAGTTTAATGTTGAATTAAAGCAAAAACATTGAAATTTTATGTTCATTGTTCACTTACTGGTTTCTATTGCGTTTTTTGGTGTTGTATTACAAGTTGTTCACTCAGCAGAGCACGGAATCCAACTGATTTCGACCGTCGAATGCCGCCAGCAAGTAACTTCCCTGTTTTTGTTTAGGTCAGATCATCAGATGGTCCGTTTTGCGTTTTGCTGTCTGTTGAATCATCGACCTCCGGACTGGCTGATTCAGTCTTTCCCCTCCATGCACGGTGATAAAATGTCTTGCGCATTGATCCGAAGCGGCCCAATCACATTCTGTGGTTTAAATAGTTTATACTATCAATAATAGTGATTCAAAATGGCGTCCTTCAATGGTAAAACAAAAGAATTAATTATTTCGGAGAATTTTGTGATTTTTGTTAGTTTTTTAGTGATTATATGTAAAGTAAATGAATTATAATGATTATTAGTGATTAATGTAGTTAAATAATTGATACATAGTGATGGTAAATGTTTATTGGTTAAATATAAATAATTAATTATGGATTATACAGAAAAACGTCTTTATCTTATCTTAAAATGTGTTGAATATTTACAAAAGACGTAAATTATAGGTCAATAGGTTGTATTTTATACGTTTTATGTGATAAAATGTGTTATTATTGTTTAATAAATTGTTTTTAAACGTATAAACAAAAAATAAATTCAAAAAAAATAAAAGTAGTGATGTTTTAGTAACAAACTAAAAGTTGGTAGTGGAAACATCCTAATAACCCTAACTTTCAAACTGTTTAGTTTAAAATTTGTAGTTTTTTTGTTCTTAAAATATATTAAACACTAACCAAAAGCATCAATAAATTGTATTATATTTAAATTTAATTATAAAATGCATTGTTATTGTTAAATAAATTGTTTTTAAACTAATAAACAAAAAATAAATTCAAAAAAATAAAAGTAGTGATGTTTTAGTAACAAACTAGAAGTTGGTAGTGAAAGCACCCTAAGAACCCTAACATTCAAACTGTTTAGTGCGCAATTTGTAATTTTTTGTTTGTAAAATGCATAAAACACTAACAAAACTTATATATTATTAATTTATAAATTGTATTATATTTATATTTAATAATATAATGCGTTGTTATTGTTTAATCAATTGTTTAAACGTACTTAAACAAAAAATAAACTTCAAAAATTGTTTTAGTAACAAACTAAAGTTCCCTAAACGTTGGTAACACAATCAGTCAAAATCCCTAACACTGTCAGCTGTATTTGTATCTACCTATAGTGAGTAAAAAATGGCTGAACAATACGATTTGGCCGCGAAAGACATCGAAAGACTAAAAGCCAACGCCAAAAGACGCCTGGAACTACGCAATGAATTCCTCAAACAACAATCCGACCCATTTCGACATGCATCTGGCGAAGGCGGACATGTCGTGAGTACTTCTACATCTAAATATCATTTAACCTCCTAATTGATGACATAACACAACACAAAACAACACATTCTCGCTTTATGTATCAACATTTATCATATTACATCCTCAAAAGATATCAAACCAAAGGATAACTCGCAAGTGAAGCAATCCCACAGTGATTCCCCGCATTCCTTGCCATCTTGACATAACCTCCAATTCCCCACTGTTGCCCATATGAGTTCTTCACCCACCAAAACTGTTTCCCATCCGGATCCGTATCATATCCAACTACTAAAATCGCATGGTTCATATCATTCGTCGCATTCTTACACGCCGCATCAAAATAAACCCCATCGGAATAAAACTGCAATGAATCACGACTCGCATCAATGGCGGCGGAAATCGGACCTATCGTACTAACGGCAACCCGCAAAGCTTCTTCATCACCTTCCGGTATGGTGACATAACCTGTACTATCCGTGCCAAAACCTTCCGGTTTGTATCTACATTGATTATCGGCTGCTTCGTACGGGTAATAATTCTCTGTGTCAATTCCTATGTTATCCTTGACATATTGAAAGGCTGGATTCATTAATCCTCCATTACAGCCATTATTACCATAATCCTTTGTACAGTCGATTAAATTCTGTGGGCTTAAGTCAGTGAGGACTCCAGTTTTACGGTAATATTGTCCTTCGAGTGCTCCAGCCTACAAAAATTTGAAGTTTTTTGACACAATTTTCAACAAAAAAACAGCAAAAATCTTCATAAGCGCATGTTTCATGAAAGAAAATTATAAATATTTGAAATTAAGGTCAAATTATCGTGAAATTTACTTAGTTTTGCATGAATTTCTACGTTTTTAACCTAATTTTCAATTTTTTTAACGTGATTTTTGTCATTTTGACGCATTTTTACAAAAAAACTAGTAAAAAACCATCATTGACGCATGTTTTATTAATGAAAAATGAAAAAAATATTAAATTTTAGTCAATTTATCGTGGATTTTACTTAGATTTTGTGAATTTTAACCTAATTTTTGTTATTTTGAAGTTTTTTGAGACAATTTTCAACAAAAAAACAGCAAAAATCTTCATAAGCGCATGTTTCATGAAAGAAAATTATAAATATTTGAAATTAAGGTCAAATTATCGTGAAATTTACTTAGTTTTTCATGAATATCTTCGTTTTAAACTTAATTTTCAATTTTTTAACGTGTTTTTTGTCATTTTGACGCATTTTGTACAAAAAAACTAGTAAAAAACCTTCATTGACGCATGTTTTATTAATGAAAAATGAAAAAAATATTAAATTTTAGTCAATTTATCGTGGATTTTACTTAGATTTTGTGAATTTTAACCTAATTTTTGTTATTTTGAAGTTTTTTGAGACAATTTTCAACAAAAAAACAGCAAAAATCTTCCTAAGCGCATGTTTCATGAAAGAAAATTATAAATATTTGAAATTAAGGTCAAATTATCGTGAAATTTACTTAGTTTTTGATGAATTTCTACGTTTTTAACCTGATTTTCAATTTTTTAACGTGATTTTTGTCATTTTGACGCATTTTTACAAAACAAAAACTAGTAAAAAACCTTCATTGACGCATGTTTTATTAATGAAAAATTAAAAAAATATTAAATTTTAGTCAATTTATCGTGGATTTTACTTAGATTTTGTGAATTTTAACCTAATTTTTGTTATTTTGAAGTTTTTTGACACAATTTTCAACAAAAAAACAGCAAAAATCTTTATAAACGCGTATTTTATTAATGAAAATTATAAATATTTTATATTTTGGTCAAATTATCGTGTAATTTACTTTAATTTTCATGAATTTCTACGTTTTTAACCTAATTTTCAATTTTTTAACGTGATTTTTGTCATTTTGACGCATTTTGTACAAAAAACGAGTAAAAAACCTTCATTGACGCATGTTCTATTCATAATTTCGGTTTCCAAGCACAAGCAACACTTGTAACTATCAGCAAAACAACTAAAAAACATTAATTCCATGATAAGCGATTTTAAATTTTTAGGCTAAAAATTATTTAATTTTACTTTTTTTGACTTACTGCACTGAATGCATAACACCCCGCGCATAATCCTTGACTCCTCACAGGCGTAACAGCGCCCAGTTTACGCCAATCGATGGAATCCGGAATCGGGACGTTTGCGCTCGCGATAAACGCGCTGGATCTTTGCGTTGGGATAATATTCATATCCAAACCTATCCGTGATCTGTTAAATCCGTTCAGAGCGTTGTCAAACTCATGGTGGAGCATATCAGCGTATCCGTTGATTTTCTGCGCGTGACTGATGTAACCCTTTGCGTAATCGTCGTTCAAACGGAAGATTTTCGCGGTGTTTTCGATGAATACTTCACGGCGGTAGTTTTCTTCCATTTGGGAGCTGTATATTTTATTGAAGGTTATCTAAAATTAATATATACAGGAAAAATGTATGTTCGGGACTTATACCGCAACTCAAAACGTAGGATTTTTATTTTTTTAAATTTTTTTTGTTTTTTTTTGTTACCTTGAAGTTATTCCATGCTTCTTCAATTGTCTGTTCATTTCTTTGTCGTGGACCGATGATATTCACATCAAAATTTGCTTGCCCGCCACCGGAAACTCCCGCGTTTATATTTCCGGTTGGGAATTGTGGCGCTACAGGCAGAATCTGCCGCCGTTGGTGATTATATCGTTGTGCAGTGGTAAAAACCGCACACGTTGTTAATATTAACAACTTTACGCGGAATTTCATTGTGTTTTTGATGGTTTAAATGTAACTATTGATTGTTATTTGATTTTTTTCTTTCTTGGAAACTTGTAATATTAGTTGATGATTAATCACTTGTGAGTTTTTTGTTAGGTACGCGCGCGTTGCGAGTTAGATGAATATTGAAACTCGCGAAAGTCTTTTCCTTCATTTATTCTTTCCGCAGAGAGGATGATGCGCGCCGAGAGTTTACGAGAGGTGCAATCAGGCACAAAGTACGCATTTGCATAGGTCTTCAGTGTCTTCCTACGCGGTTACGATATTTGCGTGACATTTAAAAGAAAATTTACAAATATTTTAGATTTGATTGGAGTTAGAGAGAATTTTACGTGGATTTTTATACATTTTTATGGTTTTAACGTAATTTTTGCTTGTTTTAAAGTAATTTTCCTTAAAAAATTAAAGAAAACTTAATTAACGCATGATTTATTAATGAAAAATAGTAAAAGTATTAAATTTTAGTCAATTTATCGTGGATTTTACTTAGATTTTGTAAATTTTAACCTAATTTTTGTTGTTTTGAAGTTTTTTGACACATTTTTCAACAAAAAAACAGCAAAAATCTTCATAAACGCGTATTTTATTAATGAAAATTATGCAACTATTAAATTTCAGTCAATTTATCGTAAATTTTATTTTGATTTTACGATTTTTGACCAAAATTTTGTTGTTTTGAAATTATTTTGACTTTTTGACGCAATTTTCATAAAAAAACATCAAAAATCTTCATAAGCGCATGTTTCATCAAAGAAAATTAGAAACATTTGAAATTAAGGTCAAATTATCGTGATATTCATTTAAATTTTTATGAATGTCAACGTTTTTAACCTAATCTTCAATTTTTTAACGTGATTTTTGTCATTTTGACGCATTTTGTACAAAAAACGAGTAAAAAACCTTCATTGACGCATGTTTTATTAATGAAAAATAGTAAAAATATTAAATTTTTGTTAATTTAGCGTGAATTTTACTTAGATTTTGTAAATTTTAACCTAATTTTTGTTATTTTGAAGTTTTTTGACACAATTTTCAACAAAAAAACAGCAAAAATCTTCATAAACGCGTATTTTATTAATGAAAATTATAAATATTTTAATTTATGGTCAAATTATCGTGTAATTTACTTTAATTTTCATGAATTTCTACGTTTTTAACCTGATTTTCAATTTTTTAACGTGATTTTTGTCATTTTGACACATTTTGTACAAAAAACAACTAAAAATCCTTCATTGACGCATGTTTTATTCATAATTTCTGTTTCCAAGCACAAGTACCACTTGTATCTATCAGCAAAAAAGCTAAAAAACATTAATTCCATGATAAGCGATTGATTACCGCTTGAGAAATTCCACCAGACTTGCGCTTTCACAAAGATTACAACAATGTTTATTCAAATTCATCATTTCGCGCGCACCGCATCCTTAAAATCGTTTGTAATGTTTATTTAATGTTATAATTCGATGACCCACTAACATTTGACCGATTGACAATCAATCCAATCAAGCACACTGAAAAAAGTGAAATGTTTGCTGTCAACTCAACGAGACAACAAGACAAAAAATAAATACAACGATTTAGATTGCTTGCCATGGGGAAAAACACGTGGCACGTCTCTTCTCGACACTTTCTATCTGCTTCACAGAAATATGCAACAAATGACTTGCGTAAGGTGGTGATATTGTTTTTGGCGTTTTGACGAATTGACGAGTATTTAGCGCGCGATTATGTTTTGTCGTTGTATAATTCATGTATTCCACGGGTGATTATGCTGTGCGAGCGCGTGATGGACGCTTCATTAGCGTTCGTAATTGAGCTGCGTCATTGATCGACGAAATTCAACTCAACTTTAACATTCACCGTGTATTGTCCGTCATGCTTCCTCGTTGAACAAATAAATCATTGCGTAATTGAATTCATGTACAAATCATCAGATTTAAATTAAATTAATCTAAATGTTACGAAATTGATTAATTTTTTAGGGAATTTTGATGATTTTAAAGTTATTTTTGTTTGTTTTGAGGTTAATTTTGTGTTTTTGAGATTATTTTGATCAAAAAATAAATAAATCTTCATTACCGCGTGTTTTATTAATGAAAATTTATAAAAATATTAGTTTTTTGTCAATTTTCTTGCATTTTGATGAATTTTAACGATTTTAACGTCATTTTTGTTTGTTTTGAGGTTATTTTTGAATTTTTGAGGTTATTTTGGTCAAAAAATGAATAAATCTTCATTAACTCGTGTTTTATTAATGAATATTTCGGATTTAACCCAATTTTTCTTAGATTGTTATGAGTTTTGATGTTTTAACCTAAGTTTTGTTGATTTTCAGGTTATTTATACCTTTTTGAGGTTATTTTGATCAAAAATGAATAAACCTTCATTAACGCGTGTTTTAACAATGAAAATTTATAAATATTTTAGGTTTTCGTGAATTTGACGCGAATTTTACACTAATTTTATGTATTTTGATGTTTTTAACCCAACTTTTGTTGATTTTAGGTTATTTCTACCTTTTTAAGCTTGTTTTAAACATAATTCTTGTTTCTACACACAAATAATACTTTTATCAGTCGCCACAACACAAAATCACGTGAAATTTGAATAAAATTAATCAAAATCTTAAGAAATTTTCAATATTTTTGCTTTTTTGTAGTTTGATCCAGCAATTCAACGTTTCGGTGCCATGCGTCTGAGTTCCTTTGAACATTTCAAAGCAAACGCTAAAAACGTCCGCACTGGATTATTCTGCGTCGTTATACCGCTGGCTGCGACCATGTACATCTTTAAAACGCAGAGAGAACGAGACGAAGAGAAGTACCGCACCGGACAAGTCGCCTACAAGGACCGTCGATTCAAATTCATCTAAATTCATCAATCTTATATTGCTAACATAGTAATACTAGCGAAAATCATAATAAATTAAATGCAATTCGTGTAAATAGAGTTGAATGGTATTATATTAACAATTGTTGAATAATTGTGGAATTGTTGATGCTTTGAACATGTATTAATCATTACTTATCTGTCTTCCAGCTGCTTATCACGCGCCACGACCGCATCATCGAATTTCACCATGTATGTTGTGCCTTTGTGCCAATGCGCAGTTACTTTTGCGGCCTGCGGACAGAAAAACAAGAAATTCTACGTAAAAACCACTAAAAACAATATTTTATTGTTTATATTATATGTGAGTAGAAGGAGAAACTCACTAGTTGTTTAAAACTGAAGAAATAATTAAAATTGAGTCAATAGTTTAAAAGTTATATGCAAAATTGTAAAAAATGACATTTGAGATGTCAAAATGTCAAAAATCAAATCTATAGCCAATCAGATAATACCTATTGGCGTGTATCCATGACAACGAAATCAACAACATGGCGGATACTTACAAAACCTGTACCAACTAGCACAGACTCCACAATTCCAGCAACAAACACAGCACAATTCAAGCTGCCTTTGTCTCTTGGTACAGAAATAAACTTATTGACTATTGGCTCCTTCTCCATCAGATAGTAAGTGTTTTCATCATCATTAGAATGTTCAAGTTTATCAGCTTCCTTTCCAAACAAAGCCTAGAAGCAAAACATTAACATAACTTGGTAAAAAACACTTGGATTTATTATCATTACCTTCCATAATGTTGATTTTACAAAAAGCAGAATATTCAACAGTTTGATTTCTCTTTTTGCATTTCTTTCTCTCACAAAGTACAGATCAATGATTTTACTACCAACATTATATCCCAGACTGTGTAATCTACAAGTAAATTGATTAATATTATGTATAGAATGATTCTTTAAAGAATTACACACCTGTTTTGTAGTTCGACAACAGTGCTAGACTTGTTTTGTGAGTATTGCACCACTTCAGAGAAGAGTAACGCGAAACAACTCAGAGAAACATCGCCTTTTCCTTTACTTAAAGGTTTATCGAGTATACTTGTACGTGGCTTGTTAGATGAATTCATTTTTGTGGAGATTTTAATTGTGTATTGCACAGGAATCACTCAAAACACAAAATATAAATATAACCAAGAATATATTACGTGAAATAGACTCTAGATGGTAACCTATGCACTGGTATTGATTTTTTACTTCATAAAAAATCCACTAGATGTCGCTGTGTGTATCATTTGACAGAATATTTATCAATATCTTGTGTTTATTGTTTAAATGTGGTATAAAGGTAAAAAATATTTGAGTTGTTTATATATCACATATTTATTTATCACATATACAAATGAAAGTCGTTGGATCAATCAATGCCTCGAATTTTATTGAGTATCAACAACATAACGTGTCACAACCGAATCGCCTCATCAAAAAGTTAATTTAAGCTGTGATTGGCAATCGATTGGCGACGGCGGCTGCGGCTGTGGCGGCGGCTGGTCCATACCCCCTGCAAGCGTCATCATGGGAATGTAGTCGATGCAAAGCAAGTGATTCTTGACGAAGTGTTGCGCGTTGCCATCTCGTGTCTAAAACCACAAAGTTAACCTCTACACTCACTAAAGCACAGAAAATAGGTTAGGTTGCATCACCTTAGGAGGCACCGATGTAGTTTCACTTTGTTTAGTTGTCAGGTGATTTCTCAGGGGTAACGTATTCAATTTTGCAGCGGAAATATTCCGCGAACCATTCGCTATGAGAGGAAAAATATTTCTATAATGTCACCAACAGAAACTAACAACCGGAAATGTGATTTTTCCCTGCTGGAAAAATGATTATTCTTACAATGATTTATCTGCTGTGAATGTGCTGCATGTGATCGTCTTGATATTGGATGACAGCACATCGCGCGACAATCAATTGCATACGATCCGTAGACGATCGGATTCATGCAGCTATTCGAGGCGGCCATCATGAATAAGCCCTCTTGGAGCCAAGGTGTAATACGTTCGGCGCTATCTCGACTGAACATATACCTAAATAGATTTTTAATAAATATAGGCAACCCACTATGCAATAATAATTAATATATTGTGTTATTGGTTGCATACCATAGTGTCAGGACGACGTAGGGGGTCCAACAGACGACAAAAACAACTACAATCATGATTGTCATGCGTAGGGTGCGTATTTTTGCTCTTTCGATCGCTTTGTCATCAGAACGACGTAATCCTGTGTTTTTTGATGCTCGACCTGAGAAATAATGAAAAATTTTAAGGTTAGGAATCATATTAACTTTAAATATTTAAGTTTTATATGAGATTTTTGAGTTGGGAGCAAGATAAGTCGGTAATACATGAAACTGTAAAGTTTTAAGGTTTTATAAGTGTCAAAACATAACCTAATGTGGATTTAGGCAATATCCAAGCCTAAAAATTAGTTTATTTTGTCCCTAGGACTAAATAAACACTAAAATTCTCATTTTTTGACGTTAAAATGTCAAAATATTTAAATTTTTACACTTTTTGCTTTGTATATCTGAAAACCTAATTATTTCCGGCTTAAATCCACAAAAAATGAATCAATATTTGCGTGCGTCTCATAAAAAAATCGTCCTTCACACATCACAATAAAATATTCCACAAAAAATGAGGCCGTAGGCAACCCACACAAAGGAAAAATCAAAAAAAAAACGTCTGTTTAAAGAATGAATGCGTCACCTCCAGCGCGTTCAGCTGACTTCTTGCGTATCTCCCACCAGATTGCAGGGTAGGTGACGGCGATGACCGACAGCGGCAGGAAGTACATGCACACGACGCACAGGAAGTTGTAGAGCATCTCGTGCCCCTGCGACCGGAAGAAGCCGAACGAAACGCATTGCGTAAAGTTGGCGAAGTGCGGATGAACGTCCGTGTGGAAGATGAAGCTCTGTAAGAACGCAAAAACAGAACAAACAAACATCAAAGGCACGCATATACAAGGTTAAGCGTTTTTATATGGGTTATTATTATTATTGTCATCATTAAAATGTATAAGTGTCGTATTTCGAAGGTATTTTCGTGTTTTTTAGAGAATTACATTCGAAGAGCTGCGAAACAGAAAGTTTTTTGAGTTGCTGCTTGTTTGGAAGCCGAAAAGTTTGGTTAAGAATGCCGGGAAGTTTTGGGAGACTATAGGCAACTTATTGCGCGTTTTAGTCTTTCATTAAATGAACGATTAAGTTAAAAGTTTTAAATTGGTTACTTTTTTGTTAGTTTCTTTTGTTTTTAAGTATTTTTCTTAGGAAAAATTGAAAATTATTTGAAACAATATAAATTTGCATTAAATAGGAATTAGACAAATTAAAACAGAAAGAATTTAATGAAAACAGTTAATATTTTGCTGGAAATTTGAAAAAAACGAATTTTTACGAAGAAATGTGTTTTTTTTTTTGTTTAAACAATAATTTAGTGGTGAAATATTATTAAAATAATAGAGAAGTTTATATAATTAAATAAAGTATTGACTTGTTAATCATTTAACGCAATTACAACATTTCTAGCGTAATTAATACTGCCGTAGGAATTTTTTAAACAAAAAAAAATAGTTTTGAAGTTGATGAAATGAAAAAAGGTAACATGTTCATAAATTGCGGATAACTTTTAAACTAAAAGAGATAAATTATTAATTCTTTTTTATATAGATAGAGTATAAAGTTCTTCATCAAATTATGCTTAATTAGATTTAAAAAATTCTAAAATTTAGCTGGAAAATTAAAAATCGTGCAAATTTTCACAAAAAAATAGCTTTTTGTTTGTTTAAACAATAATTTACTGGTTAAATAATAATAATATAATACCGAACTATAAATAATTAAATAAAGTGTTAACTAATTAATTATTTAACAGATTTGCAATATTTCTAGCGTAATTAATACTCTTCTAGGATTTTTTTAAACAAAAAAATGAGTTTGGAAGTTGGTGGAATGAAAAAAGGTAAAATGTTCATAAATTGCGGATAACTTTTAAACTAAAAGAGATAAATTATTAATTCTTTTTTATATAGATAGAGTAAAAAGTTCTTCATAAAATTTTGTTTAATTAAATTCGAAAAATTTTAAAATTTCGCTGGAAAATTAAAAAAAAACGTGCAAATTTTCACAAAAAATGTGTTTTTTGCTTGTTTAAACAATAATTTGGTGGTTAAATACCAATAAAACAATGCAGAACTATATATAATTAAACAAAGTATTAACTAATTAATAATTTGATAGTATTGCAATATTTCTAGCGTAATTAATACTGTTGTAGCAATTTTTTAAACAAAAAATGAACTTTGAGCATTTTTCTTGTGGAAAATATAAAATTCTGCTTAAAAATGCAAAAATTCAATATTTTAGTCTGAATAGACGTGTGAACGACAGGAAAAACACAACGACAAAGAGATGTTTACTAGCAGCACTACTCAACAGGT